GGCAAGACTTCTGCCACTAAGATTATCTAGACTCACCAAATTTGACCAATGAGTAAGAACTAGAAAGTGGTTCTAGTTACCTGGGCAACCAGGTAACATTTTGGTAATATTTTGGCAATGCAGCTCACATATTCAGCTAAAAGTATTCATTACTTTTGAAGTTACCTTGTAGGTCGATCACTGTATTTGAGAGCAACAGGTACAGGTGAGGCTTGCTTTTATATAAATTATGGTTTCCAAAGGTTGTATTTTTTTTTTTTTTGTATTTAGTTTTAATTTCTGCCATCTGAGAATTCATCAAGGAACCTCTAAGGAGCACAGCAGCTTCCAGAATCCACCACAAAACAGAAAAGATCACGGATGGGTTGTTGTAAAGAAGGGAGTGGTTCAGAGCTTGAAAAACATTGCCATAAAGAATAAATGCCTGTGTAGCTCAGTCGGTTAAGCATCTGACTCTTGATTTTAGCTCAGGTCATGATCTCATGATCATGGGATGGAGCCCTGTGTCAGGCTCCGAGCTGACTGTGGAGCCTGCTTGGGATTCTCGCTCCCCCCTCTCTTTCTGCTTCTCTCTCTCTCTCTCTCTCTTTCTCTCTCTCAGAATAAGTAAATAAACTTACCCCCCCCCCAAAAAAAATAGAATAAACCCAGGAAGCATAGGCCCTTCAACCCATAAACCAGAGCCGCTAGAAAAGAAAGGACAAAAAAAAAAAAAAAAGAAAGAAAGATGAGGCAAAAGAAACCAAAACTTGAAAATCTGTGAGTGAGAGTTAAGGTTTAAGACATTCTATAAACTGTTATTGAGTGACTGAAGGAATGGATGCATAATACCAGAGTCCCTGCACGTCGTTGCACTTGAGAGAGCAGAAGCATAATGATAGACGGTGAGAGGGGATTGAAGGTCAGAGTCAAGAGGCACTTAAGAGATACAATTAAGCTGAAACAAGCAAGAGTGCTTTGGGAGCTGTACTGAAACACTGAGCATGTTGTATTGCTTTTGAAAACTCCCAAGAAGTTTGGCCAATGCATTAAAGAGTGATGGTCACATTGTGCCTCTCAGAATCATCCAGGTGGCTAGATGAAAGGGGGGCGCACCACTTAGCAAACTATTTCACCAGCTGTCTCTATGTGTGAGTTTCGACGCTGCCAAACTGCACATGAATGGCACGTTGGCCCCTACAGTGGCACCAAGCGCAGTGAGCCACCGACGACAGCAGATGTGCTGGGTCTGACAATATCCACAGTGGCTAGAGGGCAGCTCACTTCCTCAGAGGACGCTGGGTGCACCAGCTGCTGGTGACAGCAATCGAATCAGATAGGTTCTGCCCTGTAGTTTTTAAGTGCTGCCTGCTTTTAAAAGGCAGAGCCTCCAAATAATGCAGGAGCTAACAAGTTTGCAAAGGAAATGCACTTGCAATATGAAAACAAGAGCAGCTGGTTATCCAACTGTGTAAAGAAATACAGAGGGCTCTTCTTTTCCCTCAAACTGATATTACTCACCCGGGTTTTATAGAGTCGAAAGCATATGCTTAAGTATAATTACTCAACAACTCAGACCAATTTCCACATCGCAGCCATATAAATAAGATATCGATTCCACCTAGGCAGTGATTATGTGACTCTTTTGCCTAGGTATTCCAGATGAGAGTATTATAAACCCGTTGGCTCTGGAGGTAACATTTAAAATTAATTTCTAAAATGAAATGTTTCATATGTGCAAATATGTGTAACGCGATACATAAAGTATATAAAACAAATGATGAGTACTCATCACCCAGATTGAGAAAGAACATGACCAGTACAACTCAAGTGTTCCTGGGCAACCCCTTACATTGCTACCCTTAGGACTGGCTACATGGTTTGAGGAACCCAACGGAAACTGAAAATGCAAGGTCTCTTGTCCAAATTTATCAAGAATTTCAAGAAGGTGAGATCAAGCATAAGGCCTTCTAAACGTGGGTACCGGCACAGCAACACTGGTCACAGGTCCATAAAACTGGCCCTGAAAACTCATCTATCACCACCCACACAGAGAAATCACTGCACTAGATTTTCCAGGTATGAATTCCATAGTTTCGGGAGGCTTTATTACACAGGCATTAAGTATGTTCTGGTTTTGTATGTTTGAAGTTTATAAACATGCCTTATGTCCAACATCGTGTTTTTTAAGATTCGTTCACGTTGATCTGTGTTGTCATTTCTTTCCATTCCCTACATTGTGCCAACTAATTCATTTGTATTTGAAATGAATTTATACATTTTCCTATTGAAGGGTATCTGGGTTGTGGGCAGTTTTCTTGTTTTTCATTTCGTTTTGTTTCATTTCACTTCATTTCATTTATTTTATTTTATTTTATTTTATTTTATTTTATTTTATTCTTTATTTTTTGCTTTGTTTCTAGAAGAAACAATGCTTCCGGGAACATTTTTGCAGCTGTCTCCCAGTGAACATGTATAAGTTCCATATAGTTTAGATGTATTTCTTGTAAAAAGCAAGAACCACGTCTTATATTTATCCAGTCTGACAATCCATCTTGTTGCTGACGAAATTGGTCCATTTACATTTACTGTGTGGTATATTTTCATTCATTGATGTTCTGTTCTTCTGTACATTCTATTTGTCCCTTCTTTTTTCTTCCCTCTATCTTACAGTAATTTTTAGTTCAAATTTTCTCTACTGCTCTAACAGAATTCGTACCTATTCTGACCTTGGAATTTTAGCATACCATATCAAAGTCACAAGTCTTAACACATTGTCTTAACTGTCCAACTAAACAAGGCAGGAACCATAGAATGTTTTCACTCTTGTCACCCATCCCCCCAGACTTAGAAGCCATTGTCACTCAGTATTTTAGTTCTGTCTTGTTTTTCCCCACAAAGTACACATCGTTAGTATTTTTTTTTTTTTTTTTTTTTTTTTTTTTTTTTCGGTTTATTTTTATTTTTTTTATTTTTTTTTTTTTTTTTTTGCTGTCAGTGATTAGGCTTAGCTATATGTTTATTAATTTCTTTGTGCATCTTTCTTCTTGTAGCTCAAACATGCCTTCTGGAGTCATTTTTATTCTTGCATGGGAGTATAATTTTTAGAAGTTTGGGTAGAGCCTTATGATGGTAAACTCTCAGTTTTTGTTTATCTAAAAGTATGTCTTGATTTTGGTGTTTGAAATACAGTTTCACATGCTGAACAATTTAGGATTGACAACTAAATCTCAACACGGCATCCATGGTTGCTATCAGTCTAACTATTGGTCCTCTCTTTTCCCCCTGAATCATTTGAAGATCTTCTCTGTCTTTGGTGCTACAATGTGCATAGTGGTATAGGTTTCTTTTTTATTTTTCTTGCTCGGAATCATGTGTGCTTCTAGTTTCTGATGATTCAAGTGTATAATCAACATCAAAAATATATGAGTCACTACCTATCTACATATTTCCTCTCCTCATTCTCTTTATTATCTTTTTCCAGAACTCCAATTTGAAATGCTACATCTTCCCATGTCTCTTAGCCTCAATTTATATTGTCAATCTCCTTGCTCTACTGGAGTTCATTTCTTCATGTTTTTTTCAAATATAATTTATTGTCAAGTTGGCTTACATACAACACCCAGTGCTCATCCCAATATTTCTTCGTGTTTATCTTCATGGTTACTAATTGTCTCTTTGGCTCTGTTTAGTTACTGCTAAAGTATTCATGAAATTTCTTATTGCAGCAACCATATTTTTCACGTTTGAGTTTTATTGTCACTTCAAGAAGCAATATCACCAAAGCTAAAAACTAAGAGAGATAAGTGTTTATTTCCCCCGAGTTCAGCAGCTAACCTCAGTCCAAAAGGAAGCTTCTTCCTGAAGCCTGGATTGCTGAGGAATGAGGCCAAGTGGCCCCCTTATTTGTCCTCCGCTCACCCAATTAGTGAAAACAGCGTTCATCACCTTGTGCTGATGACAATTCTATTGTCTCTGTGTCACAGAGGGACGGGATGCCCTTTGTGCGGTGTGAGCATGATCCATGGTTCTTCTGGATCTGCTTTTGCTTCAGGAATCCCTGAAAACCGGCCAGTGCAGAAAGGACAAGGAAGCAGACCATTGGTGAGGTCTGGGCAGATACAGATAGGTGCTTGTAGATGTTGATATGGATTAGAAAAAGATGTGGACTTCATATAGCCAGGCGACGCATAGGAGGAAGAAAAGAATTGAGGTGGGACAAAGTGGTAGGCCATTGACTCAAACAACCCAATGGCTTTTCCCAATGGTCAGGAAATGAGTCATGGAGTCATTAAACTTAAAACCACCAGGCACGGACTTTTTCGGAGACCTCTCTGTCCTCTTTTTTTTTTAATTTTTTTTAATGTTTACTTATTTTTGAGAGAAAGACAGACAGCAAGTGGGAGAGGAGCAGAGAAAGGGCGAGACACAGAATCGGAAGCAGGCTCCAGGCTCCGAGCTGTCAGCACAGAGCCTGATGTGGGGCTTGAACTCACAGGCTGTGAGATCATGACCCGAGCCAAAGTCAGATGCTCAACCGGCTGAGCCCCCCAGGCGTCCCTCTGTCCTCTTAGATTATGTGTGTGTGTGTGTGTGTGTGTGTGTGTGTGTGTGTGTGTTTTATAACCCATTTTATACACATAGCACACATATTTTAAACCTAACCTGTAGGATATACCTCAGTATCACATTTGATATATAATAATACTATATGCTGTGAATACAGTGGAGACAAAACTTGCCAATTCTATTTTTCGCAGTCATACGAAGAGTGAATATTTCATGAGAAGCGTAAAAGGATTACTGTTCCACTTTCTTCATCGGGGAAAAAGCCCATTGTCTGAAGAAGCACCTCAAAAGGGCTGTCTGTATATTGTAAAGAGCAATCGAGTTTCTGATTCATGACATCAATGGAAACTTTTTCAAGTGGATAATGTCCTGACATAAAGGGTTCCAGTTAAGACACCAGACTGCAAGGCAAAAACACAAAACAGCTGCTGCAGCTTTGAGTCTGTACTTACTGCTCAGTTATTCACAAGAATGTGGAGATCCACCTCACGACCTTCAAACTTGCTGGAGACAAGTGGCTCGGATGAATACGGGCCTAGGGAAGGGGCTCAGAAACAGTCAAGGGCTGACAGCGAAGGCAGAAAGTGTCCAGGGGACACAAGCCTCCCCTTTATGACCAAGTGAAGCGTTGACCCCACAGACCAGGATATCACTGAGGAAAACACGAGCAGCCAACCTACGGAATAAAATGAAAACTTCAACCATAATGCAATCAGCACTCGCGTTGCAGCACAAAGCAGTCCCTGGTGAATCAATAAATGATTCGGTTTCCAGAGAATATGACTCCGACTTGCCAAAGAGAATCAGAGGGACACGTGTTCTTCTCTCTACCCAGCTTCCTGCTTATGTGTGGTCTAGCCATCCGTCAACATCTAGATCAGCTTCTACTCATCCAGAAAAATCTTACCTCGTTAGCTCCTTTCACATTCCCACTGCACCTCGAGTATATCTTTGTTTGCGGTTGCGCCTTTCAATTAGGTGGCACATAATTGCCTCGCTAGTCAAACTTGTCATATAATTAAGTCCGTTAGAGAACTTCCTAGAGATTGCAAGTCTCACGAACATACCACGTCCCCTTTATCATTTTAACCATTCAGTGATGCCAGTGGCAAAACATCATTGCTGTTACCTCATTGCACGCTCGACACACAGAAAACAATCAGTAAATGCGAGTTCAATGTATTTCCACTTCTTGGACAAAGAAATGAAAGTCCACGGATACTTTCAAGGCTGCACAGTTCAACAGTAAGACCAAGTCCCGGCGTATACCTAGATTTTCTGGCTCCAAATCCAGAATTCTTTCCATTCGCAGGGCCGCCTCTGAGTGCCCGCCTCATTTTTACACACTCACACACACAAGCACATTGCGCACACACACACGGAGTTTACCTATGGGATTGAGACCTCTTACCTACAACACTGAAACCAAGCTACGTGTGAAAGACTAATGAGAACCAGTTCCTCGCCTTCCCACAATGAGGCTCACAAGTGAATTGTTTACTGAATTGAAATAAAAGAAATACCAATTCAACGACGATAAACGTGCCGCATGTTTCTTATCCAGTGCGGTAATTTCGGCAAACTATACTAAAGGAAAGTCTCTCCCTTCTTAAAGCTCCGTGGTGTCCTGATGAAGAAACGAACAACAAAATAATCAGAGGCAACCAGAAAGGAGGGTATAAGGCAGAAGAAAGAAACCTTTGGGAATGTTCAGCGCACTGCCCTCTGTGCTTATTTGGGAGAATTTTCACTTCCTTCTATGCCAAGTCTTCACAGCTGCAGTCTAAACAGTTGGGGACCACTAAGGGGGGTGACCTTACTCTGAAAAGGCTCAGATAAGTTGAGGAGGCAGTGGGGACCTAATGGCATTAGAATGATCTTTCCAACCTCTCAAATCTCCTATCTCTGAATCCATACCACACCCCTGCATCGGGGAATATTCCACCGCCATGGGGGTATCACTCCCCACTACACTACCCTAGGAGGTAGCAGGGAATTTTTTTTCCCCGTCCCCAGACAATAGCACCTTAAAAAATTAACATTTAAGCGTTTGTTGGTGACGCATAGCATATCGACATCAAAACGCTCAAAATGCACTCATGGTACCAAATCCTGCTGGTTTTCTCCCTGAATTTCTCTAGCTCTTTTGACCCTGGGTGATGAGTATTTTCACAAATATTATTTTTGAGTTGCCAGTTAAATCAACTACTTTGAGGTATCCCAGTCCTCGAACTAGCTGACTCGAGGGCGAGGACAGGTAATGACCGGTTAGGAGAAAAAGGGTAACAAAAGAAACGTCGCCAGCTGCCAAGTTCAGAATCAGAACGTTTATGAGGTTCCCCAGGGGTGCACTGACTTCTCCCAAGTGCAGTAACATTTTCCACAACAAAATAAACTAATTAGAAGTGTCCACAGAGCGAGCAAGCGTTACAATTGTTTGTAGGTTTGTTTGCTTTTTTTTCTAAGGGTTACTTCATCACAGACTTGTGTTAATGAGCTTGGAAATACATAAATAAAACAATCCCAAGTTATGAAAGCCCTAAGTTTTTATTCTAACATGTAGCAAATGAATGCCACCCTTCTTTATTTTCGACATCAGAAGCCCCTCACGAGTGGCGTTTATTAAATCAAACTGTGATCCTTCAGAACCACGGGAAGAACCGAAAAGTTTGCAAGATTCACGCCCAGTGGCACCCAGGGTTTGCACATGAACATGGTTGAGTACTAATCACAAATATCACATCATAAAAGCACTATGACGAGGGATTTATCTCAGTTGGTCCACACGACAGTGCATGAGGTTATTCCCACTTTAAAGCTCAGTTTTAAATTATTTGTCAATATTTAGATTATTTAAATATTCTTTATTTTATTTTATTTTTTTAATGTTTATTTTTATTTTTGAGACAGAGAGAGGCAGAGCATGAATGGGGGAGGGTCAGAGAGAGAGGGAGACACAGAATCCGAAACAGGCTCCAGGCTCTGAGCGGTCAGCACAGAGCCCGACGCGGGACTCGAACTCACGGACCGCGCAATCATGACCTGAGCTGAAGTCGGACGCTTAACCGACTGAGCCACCCAGGTGCCCCTCTTTTTTTTATTTTAAATTCCTCTTTGAAACTCAGCAAATTTGAGAGGCTTTGCCAACAACATGAGGCCAGTATGTGACAGAGGCAGCCTGGATGCAAACCATCTGGTCATTTTACATCAAATGTATCTTGGAAGTGATGGAGGGATAAATAGAGTCCGTCCCTTAACCCAGATCTAGTCCTCTATACACACTGCATGGCTGACCAATTAAACGTAGGATCCCCAGGGGGTCATAGATGAAAATAGTGACAAAGATTTTCTCAGGAACAAATGCCATCTCGTTCAAAAGAAATCATAAGGCCATCTCATGTCTAGTCACTTAAGTGTTAGAGGCAGTGGAGGGATAGGAATACTTTCTGGGCCAGATTTGGATCTAAGTATCGGATGCTTAGAGTAGGGTTTCTCAACAGCAGCACTGTTAAAATTTGAGCTAAGATAGCTCCTTGATGTGGGGGAGGGAAGGAGGGGAACTCTCACATGCTCGGATATATTGCAGCATCCTGGCCTATACCCACTAGATGCCATTGGTGATGACCGATTATGTCCCCTGCACTGCCTCCCTGGGCATCTAAATCAGCCTTTCTCCCCACTGAGAACCACAGACTTAAAGGAAGTAGGCTTTTTTTTTTCTGTGCCTCCAAGTTCTATTTTTTCTTAATTACTCAGTGTGCTGAGAAATGTTCCAAACTTCCTTCCGTCATAGAAGAAACTCAAGAGCAGATTGTTCTCCCACTGAGTGTGAAAGAATTGCCTCAATAAATATTACCAATAACGTCTCTCATGTAGCTGATCGTGGCGTCCTGCCCTTTGAGTTCCACCACCGATAAGTCATTCGCCACAGAGCGTGTCCTGATGACACAAAAGCATGCTGGGAGCAGTGACACACTTGAAAGATGTTGAATATTAAGGGAAACCTTTGTCCCTCAAATATTTGTAGGTAGAATGTGGCAAAACATATGAGATGAGGTGCTACAGTCACCAGGAAATAGCACTACACATGCGTTAGATTGCCTGAAATTTTGAAAATTGACCATCCAAAGTGTTGGCAAGGACGTAGAGGAACTGCAACTCTCAGATAGTGCTAATAGGAGAATGGGACAAACACTTTGGAAAACAACATGGTCGTTTCCTAAAATGTCAAGCTTGGGCAAGTCTACCATGTGACAGAGCCATTCCAATCCTAGCCACCAACCCATGAAAAACAAACAACAAGCAGACAAACAAACAAAAAGTCTTCGTGTCCAAAGACTTTTACGTTTCTGGGTATAGCAGCTTTATTTCCAAACACCAGAAACTGGAAACAGCCCCAAATTACGACCTCTCCATAGAGGGTAACGCCCAGCGACAAAAAGGAGGAAACTGTCAATATACTCAATACCATGGATACATCTCAAAATCATTACATTAAGTGAAAAGGGACAGTCAAGAAAGATTACGTGCTGTATGATTCCATTCGTTTGAAATTCTAGAACACGCAGACTACTCTGTAGGGCTGGGAAGCGAGTCAGTGTTTCCTGAGGTTGGTGGGAACAGCAAAATGGAGAGGAAACTTGTGCTACCCTAATCGTGACGATGACTTCAAGGGTGTGTGCCTGTGTCAAAAGTGCTGATACTGAAAACTTCAATTAGGTGTAGTTTATGGGACCTCAATCATAGATGAATAAAATAGGGGGGAAGAAACACATTGTAGGAAAACACAAAGTTTTATCTACCTAGCAGAACCTGCGACGGAAGATAAAATTCAACCCCCAGCTAATGATCTTAGTAGTGTAGTGACTACTAAAGACAATTTTGGTAAAGTTATATGTTGCATAAACAGCAAATCCATGACATGATAGTACTTAGGAACCAGTCTAACTAGTATATCTTGCCTTTCGGGACAGAATTTAAAATAACACATGCATACACACATGCACACAGGCACACTTACTCACCACACAACCATGTTACAAAGCAGAGTTGCTGCATTACAATTATTTCATTCTGTCATCCTTTCTTTATTCGAGGCTATCATCTTGCTGTCATTCTTTGGCTCAAAAAAAAAAAATAGCTAACCTTATTTAAATACGCGATACCATCTGTACATTATCAACTATTTGTGTTGGTATTTGTATTGATGCTTCAACAAATACCAAATGCTACAAAAGTGTAAAATTCTTGGAAATGCATAAGTGAGGCAAATTCTGTGTTTTTATGTTTTACGAAAGGAAAACCCCAAACCGACAAAGTGGTATTAACTTGGTAAGGTGTACGTTAGGTGAAGTATCACATCTTTTTTTTTTAAATTTTTTTTTTCAACGTTTATTTATTTTTGGGACAGAGAGAGATAGAGCATGAACGGGAGAGGGGCAGAGAGAGAGGGAGACACAGAATCGGAAACAGGCTCCAGGCTCCGAGCCATCAGCCCAGAGCCTGACGCGGGGCTCGAACTCACGGACCACGAGATCGTGACCTGGCTGAAGTCGGATGCTTAACCGACTGCACCACCCAGGCGCCCCAAGTATCACATCTTTAAGCAAAGTCAAAGAATACATGCATAGAATATTATCTGAGTCACACAAAAAAGACTAATTAATAACCAAGAGA